TTACACAGAATTTGTCCTTATGACACTGCCATTAGTTCACTCAGCATACTGCTCCCCAGTCTCTCCCAAGTTATGTATTAATTTTCTAAATCACTGCTCCTGAGTGCAGTGTAGTATTCCAGATTGTACCACAATTTCTCAATCCATTCAATTGTAGTTGGACATATGGGCTATTTCCATGTTCTTGCAGTCTGTTCCATGTTTAAATGCTTCTGAACATGGAGTTGTGGAGATCTCAATTACTAACAATGCTACAAGAACAAAAATAAATCATTTCATTGATACATACAACTAATGAAAGGTTAATAAGGTTAGTTTAATAGATGAATATAAGAAAGGCAGTTTCTGTCTAAATAGAATCTGTTTTTTCTTTCTACCTGATAAAGTACAACTCTGATTTTTAAAACAATAAGCTCATGTTATCCTACTTTATTTGCCATGCTAGAAAGTGCTTACTTCTTTAACACTCATCTAGATTTCTTAATCTATTTTATGTTTACAGTTATAGCCATTTCTCATTACCTGATAAGCATTTTAATTTTACTACTATAATAATAATCCAAAATAATTTTCTGGCTGACTAATGTCTACAAACACTGTACTAGAAAATAAATTTGGAATTGTCTTAAAAGACAAAGCAACACAGTGCTTGCCCTCAAGGGGCATACAAATATAATTATTTGATCCCTCAAATTCATAAAATACAATAATGCAAAAATGACTTTTTCATTTTGATTTTGAAAAGCCTGCATTTGTAACAGAACTACCAATAGGAAGAGAAACAAAAGAAACTAGCATTTTTTAGTGCCTAGGATGACGGAAAAACTGATCCTGTTGAGTTATAATACTAGAGAAGAATAGTGAACACACCATGGACTGCCAAGTGAACAAATAAGTGTGTCCTGGAGAGAGCGAAACCAAGCTGTTCCTTGGAGGCAAAGATTTTTAAGCTATGTCTCACATATTTTGGGTATGTTGCCAGAAGGAACCAGTCCTTGGAGAAGGATAACATGACTAGAAGAGTAGAGGGCCAGCAAATGAGAGGAAGCTCCCAGGCGAAATGGATTGACATAGTAACTGTAGCAATGGGGTCATGTGTGTCATAGACAATGAGGTTGGCTCAGGACAGGGCAAGGTTCAGAACCATTGTTTATAGGGTCACAAAGAGTCATAGGCAACTTGATGGCACATAACCACAACAAGTACGTCAGACACCATATATACTAGGCAAATCTGCTGAAAAGGATCTCGTTAAAGTGTAACAAAGCAAGAAAGTCACTCAAGTCATGGTATTTTCAATCATCTCCTGCATGTTAAACCTGGACAATGGATTAAGAAAATAAAAGAATTGATGCCTTTGAATTGTAGTGTGGCAGAGAGTATGAAATATGCCATGAACTGACAAAAGAATAAACAATTTGTCTTGGAAGACATGCAGCCAGAGAGCTCAGAATGGCAAAATTTTGTCTCACATAATTTTATGGGCATATTACCAAGACAGGCAGTCTCTGGAGAAAGATATCCGCTGTCACACAGCAGGACAGGAAAAAGGAGGAAAATCCTCAACAAGATGGCTCACTGATAACAATGAGCTCAAGTACAGCCCTGATGGAAGACAGCTCAGGACGGGGCACTGTGTCATTCTGTTGTACATGGGGCACTATGAGTCCAGACTCTACTCAACTCAAACACCACCCAACATCACAACAACTCTCACAAGGTCTCACTTTGTGAGTGAGCATGCTCTTCAAACCCCTTTGTGAGTCCCAAAGAGTCATTCTCTTTTGATTCAAAGTCATTTCTTCAGTCTCAGGTTAAAATGTTACCGTTTACTTTAACTTATTCATACATATTCGTTTCTATTTCTATTACATCTTGGTTTGTACTTCTGCAAGTTAAAGACAAAGAAACATTTCCTGATGAGCTTTGCTAAATACTGGTTAAAGTCTATTCCTTAAAATAAAAGATCAACTTAGTCTCTCCTAATACAGACTTTTTCCCAAGTAATTTTTTTTTACACTGAGGTTTTATGTTATTTTATTTCAATGTTTGCATATTATAAAATTATATATTCATCTACAAAGAGGTATACTGCTAATCTAAAGGTGGCACATATCTGGAGGTTCAAATCCACTAGTGGTTCTATGGCCGAAAGATGGGAAAGTTGCACAATTTACAGCCTCCTGAAAAACCAGCTGGGGGGCCAACTCAGTCAGTCAGTCAGTTCCTACTCAATGGCAATGAGTTTCAGTTCTGCTTGTGGGGGAGGGGTATCCTATTTTATAAGGAAATGGGCCAATATAATTCCATTTTAAATACGACTTTATGTTTTTATTAATACTTTCATGAAAGTTTACAGAAAACTTGGACTTCCATTCATTCATTGCTGCATCTTTTCTTCTCTACCCATCCTACCCTCAATCCCGTTCACTTTTTGCACCCCAGTCCACTTTGCTGTACACCTCTTATTCTGCACTATTGTCATGTAAATAATATCTAATCAAATATTCCTTTTAGATAGTTCTTTCCTCATCTGTTTCAATGCAATATTCATTATTTATCCCCTCTTTTCTTAGTTTACCCCCAAACCACTTGTGAGTCCTGTTTTATAACAGTGACATTATGCAGTATTTGTCCTTTTGTGACTGATATATTTCACTCAACATAATGTCTTTCAGGGTCACCCATTTTGTATAATTTATAAGTTCTCTGTTTTTTAGTGATGCATAGTACTCCATTGTGTGAATATACCACAGCTTCTCTATCCATTGATTTGTTGGTGGGCACCTGGGTTTCTTCCATCTCTTTGCTAATTGTAAACAACACAGCAATAAAAATAGGTGTGCATATATCTGTTTGGGTGGCAGCTCTGGTTTCTTTGGGGTATATTCCCAGTAGTGAAAGAGCCATATTGCCTTCCATATTGGTTGCACCACTAAATAAGACTTTTTAAAGTCTTTATGTAGTTTTATAGAAATTATTTTTTAAAAACTGTCACAATTTCAACTACCTTATCTTTGTTGTTGTTGGTTGCCGTCAAGTCAAGCACAACTCACAGTGACTCCATGAACAAAAGACCTAATGCCTTTCTATAACTATCGTCATTTCTCCCAGTTCATAGAGTTTCCACAGGCATGGGGTTTAGGAAGTGGATGTCACTCCCACTTCCAAACCTGTTTTACAAGTGGAAGCTCGACCAAACACTGTCCACATTGGGAAACCATTATGCCATTTCACACCCAACGGCACAAGGTTCAGAATCACAATAAATCCAGATTACCTCAGTACAGCAAACTGACAAAGAGTGATGTACAAAGTGGAAGAATATTGCTCTAACATTCTTTGTTTTATGAATTAAATGTTTTATGATTTAAAGAATATGAAGCATTAGAATTCATTAAGAAAAGACTAGATATAGGTCCTTGGAGAAGGACATCATGCTCAGAAGGGTTGAGGGACCTTGTCTTTATTTTGTTGTTATTTCTCATGGAAACATACATGCTAAACAATATCATTGATATCACATACAAGCAAGATTCTGCTGAAAATTATCCAAAAACGTTTCGAACAATATGTCAACAGAGAACTGCCAGATGTGCAGGCTGGATTTAGAAGAGGTCGTGGTACTAGGGATAGTATAGCTAATGTTAGATGGATCTTAGCAGAAAGCAAAGAATACCAGAAGAATGTCTATCTGTGCTTCACTGACTATGCAAAGGCTTTAGACTGTGTGGATCACAATAAGCTGTGGCTGACTCTGAGAAGAATGGGAATTCCAGAACATCTGATTGTGCTAATGCAAAACTTATACTTGGACTAAGAGGCAGTTGTCAGAACAGAGGAAGGAGACACTACATGGTTCAAAATCAAGACGGGGGTTCATCAGGGATGTATTCTGTCTCCATACCTTTTCAGTCTGTATGCAGAACAGATCATCTGAGACGCTGGGCTATACGAAGAGGAATGTGGCATCAGGATTGGTGGAAGAATCATCAACAACCTGTGTTATGCAGACGATACAACCCTGCTTGCTGAAACTGAGGAGGACCTGAAGCACTTGCTGCAGAAGATCAAGGACTACAGCCTCCTATATGAACTGAAGCTCACCATCAAGGAAACAAAGATTCTCACCACTGGATCAATTGGCAGCATCAGTATGGATGGTGAAGAGATTAAGATAGTTAACAGTTTTAATTTACTTGGCTCCACAGTCAACACTCTTGGTAACAGCAGTCAGGAAATCAAGAGACAAATTGCATTGGGAAAGTCGGCTGTGAGGTACCTCTCAAGAGTACTGAAGAGCAACGATGTCAGACTGGAGACTAAGGTGTGCCTGATCCAGGCTATAGTATAGTCTTCACAATTACATGCTATGCATCAGAGAGTTGGACAGTGAATAGGGTTGATAGAAAGAGAACTGATGCCTTTGAGCTGTGGTGCTGGAGAAGAGTGTTGAATATACCATGGACTGCTAGAAGAACAAACAAGTTCGTCCTGGATAGGGTGAAGCCAGAATGTTCCCTGGTGTCAAGGATTCTGAAGCTTCGTCTGACATATTTTGGGCATGTTGCAAGGAGGGACTGGTCATTGAAGAGGGATATTATGTTTGGCAGAGTGGAGGGGTGGCGAAGGAGAGGAAGACCTTTGATGAGATGGATCAATTCTGTGACTGGAGAGGTAAGAATAAGTGCATTTGAGATGGCTAGGTTGGCACAGGACAGAAGAGCATATAGAGCTTTTGTACATAGGGTTGCTATGAGTCGCAAGCGACTCGATGGCACATAATAACAACAACAACAACTTACAAGAATGGAACAAAAAGTAACCAGTATCATATTTTCATGTTAGAATCAGGAAAACTAAGTCCCAAAAATGTTTAAAATAATGTTTTGACTATTTTCCCAATCATTAAAGGAGATGAAATTCAATCACCTAATAGACAATATGCCAAAATAGAGATATAAAACATACTATGTTAATTTTTCTAACAAATAACTCACCTAAGTTTTCTTCCTTTGCTGGCCTTTCTGTCTACTTTCTTGTGGATTTTGCTTCGTAATTTCTGGATTGCAAGCCACTGCCTGGAAAAGTCACAAGCAATGTTACGCATCAACACTAACAGAAATAGTTAGGCCTATTGGCAAATTGGAATTTTTCTCACTAACAACCTGCAGAAAGAAACCACCAAACTACATCAAGTTCCTCAAGGTAGTCAGGGGCCTAAGTGACTAATCAATTAAAGATGATTTGTGCAATGGTTTTTTAAAAAGTAGCTGGGAAATTTTACAGCAAATTTAGTTAACAATGCTCCTTAGAATCTGGGGTTGCTGTGATAAGCACTAGATCTACCAGTCTATGGAAAAACCCATTAAATTGAGTAGAATTGTTTGGGTTTTCTTTTAATGTTTTAGTTGTGCAATGTGTTTTGTTATTAATGAAGCTACTCCTGTTTGAATACATGAATTTTTTTAAATCTAATTTTCTCTTTGCTAATATCCAAGCCTTAGGGTTTTTTTGTACTTTCTAATTTTTGTGAATTTTTTATAATTATCACTGGGGATATTAATTTTAAAGTAATTTTATTTGATTTTCATTTCATTTGTAAATATTGCAGTATGTCACTTAAAGACAAGAATACCCTCCCAACAATAAAAGTTCAATATCATTATGGTTATGAAAGTTAATAATTCTTTACTATCAATTATACAGTCAGTCTTTAAATTCCTTTGATTGTTTCAATTTTACAGTTGGTTCGTTTGAACCAGGATCTAAACAAGAATCACATATTCTATAATCATTTTAGATAAGGAATTAATTTTTCAAATAAAGGCCACTAGGCTAAGAAAATCTTCATAAATTACTTATATGAACAAATGTTTAAGAAAGATGACTAAAAAGCCAGTCATCATACCTGATTTATACAATGAAAACTTAACATAGGGGGAGGGGGAGAAATCTAGGGAAATCCAATTACTGTAATCTTAATATAATCTTAATTACCATAATCTATTTTATTGTAAAGTCAGATAAATGTACAGTATAATAACTACTTAAATGCAATTTGCTCTATCCCATTAAATTTATAGCGAATAAGTCTCTCTAACATTCTAGAGATACACAAAATATCAACAACATCCTGTCCTAAAATTCAAATAATGTTTTACTCACATAAAACTATTTAATCAACACCCATTTTTTCACTGCTTTCTCAAAATGCTATTTTGCCCTGAATCCTATTTTGGCACTTGCAGCTTTTGTTTCCTTTCATGCTTTTGCAAATTATAGCTCATGGCTATTTAAATGTACACTATTCATTAGGTAGCACTCTAAATGCCCTTTTTATTTTCCAACTGCAGGATAAAGCATACACTCAAGCACCTTCCGTCACTACTTTACATTCTACCCTGACAACTGGGTAATGTTTCCACATTCCATTTCTAATTGTGCTGAAGCTTTTAATGAAGAGGTGGAGGTCTAAATTAGGATAGACTAACAAAGCAGATTCAACTGTGAGCAAGGAACCTGTTGTACCCAGTGCTACATTCTAGAGCTGAAAGTACATTATCTGAGTGACTCCTTTTTCCTCACTGGTCAGCTAAAAGATATGGATATAATCACAACCCAAACTAAAGAGGAAAGCGCAGAAGGCAGACATTGTTATATCTAAACTCTTTTCAAACTGCATGATGGCAATTAGGATAATAACACTTCTGATATTCTAGTTTTCATGTTTTTTAATTTTAAGACAGAATGGAGTCAGTATGAGTTGTGCTCAACTCTACGGCAATCATCAACAACAACTACAGTTCATATTATCTTGCTTAATTTTTACAATTATCAAGCTAGTCATTGTCTGAGGCAGAATTAAGGTAGCTCAAAGAGAGAAAATATTACACATATTATTCATGCAGAAAGCCTACACAAGTAGTCCTCAACATAAGACAAAATGCACTTAAGACTTCTTTTTAAAAAGCAAATATTTTATCATTCCAACAAAGCAAATTCATTGTCAGCTGGTTGATTCCAATGCATGGCAACATCCTCCTGGCTGTAAATCTCTTTCTTTCATGAGTATCTGGTAGATTCAAACTGCTGACCTTTTGGTTAGCAACCCAACATATATATAATGCACTGTTGCCACCACTGCTCCTTATGGTTTATCACCGTTAACACATAATATTATTAAAATAACTGTAATTTGAGATGTAATGTTTCTAACCCCCAAATAAGATCAAATTTATAAAGATACTGAAAATAAAAAGCAATAATAATGAAATCTGAGGGCACTCTGGTGGCCTAGTGGCAAGAAGCTGAACTGCAAGCATGCAGTTCAAATCCACTAGATGTTCTATTGGAGAAGGAAGGGCAATCTCCTCTGTGCCACTCAGATCCAATTAGATGGTACACAACAAGAAAAAGAAGGGGAAAGAAAATAAGAAATAAACAGAAAAAAGAAATCCTTTTTAAAAGAAGTATGTGGCTTACATCAGAACTGATTTACTAATCAAGTCCTCAGAATAGAATGTCATGGTAAGTTGAGGATTGACTATCCACATATGTTGCTTACATGAATAGAAAACAATGTCTAAATTACCTTCCCATAGCCACCTGATCATTGGGATCCAACGAGCTGGTCTTCCGTTCTATGAGTTCTCGCAGGAGCTAGGGTAAAGGAAAGCAACTGATTTATTTATCATCTCCCAGCACCAACTGGCTTTAAAAGGGCACAGTAGGATTTCTGAATGGCAAGGTGACAGCTCTAAAACTACAATCAATAAAGAATAACCCAGTGGCAAGAGCATGACTGAATTCCCATTAACCCTTTCATATTTATATATCTTTAAAAAGGCGGCATAGCAATAGCTGAGACTAGAAGTCCATTTGGAAGACTTATTATACAGCAGTTCATTTCAAATGGATCAATGAGTGTGCAATGTTCCTTTCATTGTTTTTATGATTAGTTTTGTCCACCTCATCGATATCAATGGAGAATCTTTAAAAGGTCAGATAGGAAAGGCTGTATGGCAAAACGGAAAACCCATCAGCTCCTCACCAATAGGATAATGGTACATGGTTAACTTCTGACCTATAACCTCTAGCAGGCAGGAAGGTCTTTCTCAGGAAAAAGCCTTTACTGTATATCATTATAAGTGTGGTTTTCATCCTCTTGCTTTCTATACCTGATACTCTACCATACTTCTTAAGTGATTTGACTATATAATGCAGTTATAGCCACAAAAATTATAAGAGGCAATCAAAAGAAAGTCACCTATATTGCAAATACAATACACAGGATCGTTTTTCAATCTATACAACTATCTATGGGAACTCTAAATTACTCTCTTTTTAATCCTAGGTTCATGCAATCTAAATCTATATCTTTCATACATACTTAAGAATACACAGTGAATCTTAAAGTCCTAGGTAAAGAGAAGGCAATGGATTTAAATATTAAGCAATAAAGGAGTAGAATTTTAAATTATAACAATAAAACTATATACAATCTCTCCTACATCAATACTACATGCACAGAAATAGCAACATAGATTAAAATTTCAAAAAACCTTTAAAGAGAAACTGAAGAAAAGATACTAAAACAAACTACTGCTAATCATCTGTCAATAATACCTGCTTTACTTTAAAAACTGTTTCGTCACAAAAATAATTCATTATTCTTTCAGTAGGATATGGTAGTAATATAGATATTTTACCCAGTTAAGTAGCTGAAGCCTGTGGGAGAATAAAGGAGGAAAAAAATTCCAGTCAAAGTAGTTAATTTTCTAATTCTCATTTGATTATATAAGTAGGTACTAGAAGCAGTAAAACAAATTTGTAAACATTCACTTCTCTAGGATGCCTCTTTATTACAAAAGGGAAAAGAATACCGCAATTGCAATTAAAAAACCTCCCATGATGGTTTTTCATTTGCTTATTTTGGACATTACTGCCACAGCCATTACATTTTAAAATGCAGAGACCAGAGGCCACCGGTTTATTATCACTAGAAAACAGCAAGCTATTTCGCTACCCTGTTTATCTGATTGATTCCCAACATCTTTCTGGCAGTCAATCTATCAGTTTATCTCTCCTACTTCATCACAGTCACTTCTGGCAGCTAACTACAAGATCCAAATCCAGTGTTACACAGACATAAGACATAGTAAACCTATGTAACACTGCTAGCCTCTAAACAGCTGCCCTAAAGGCTAAGCAAAAATGGGCTTCTGGTTCCTAGTCAATATTCTGTCAAAAGCAGGGTTGGAAGGAGGGACAGCTAATTTGAAAAAGACAGAGAAAAAGACAGTGAAAGAATAAACTGGAAGAAAATAACAGAGTGACTACATTTCACAGTCCAGACACATTATAGATTATAACCACTGCTGGTTTTCCTAATCATCCCTGATCCTTTGAGGCTGGGTCAGTCAGGGCTACTGGAGAGCAAATAGAAGGTGCCCTGAAACAATAGGGAAGAACTTTTGGATGAGAGACCACATGTTCTCCCCAAAACCTGGGGACTAGCACCACACAAGCGCAGCAGCAGATCTATTGCATTTACAGTGGTCTCTGCAATCCAAATACTATATGCTGGTGCAGTGTTTACTCTCAATCTGTGTATTTGACATATTCCAGGCTGTGTTTTCACTACTCATGTGCCTTGTACAGCTATTTTTAGTAATTCATAATTGAAAAGATTGTCTTACTAGTGTCTATCTGCTAGATGTAGTCTATTTGGTCCAATATTCAGAAGGTTCTGTTGTGTTCAAGACAGGAGTGAGAAAGCAACAACAATAAAAATATAACTAAGCAAATTATTCACATAACTATCATTACTTGCCAGTCATCACTACTACTAACTTTAAGTTTAATTAGTAACACAGGTTTCAAAAAATGTTGCTGAAAAGTGAAGCTTCAGGAAGGTTGGCAAATTTAATTCTGTCTGAGTTCAATTTTTATATTAGCTTAAACTTACAAAGTTTTCCACTAAAATTCAAGTTACTGTAAACAGTTATGTGAATATTTTAACAATGATGCCACAGTATTTACAGCAACTTCCTTTGTGATTTGGAAAAGTTAAGAGATATGTGGAATATGTTTCTTTTGTTCCTCCAAATTGTTCTCAACTCAGAATGACCTGATTCCTTCTCTATTTTCAAGAGAACATCACTGGTGTGGTTAGGCTTTCCAGGTATACCACAAAAACCTATTTAACCTAAAAAGCAAACAAGCAAAACTATTTAACCAATAGCATGCATGAGGAACAGCAAAGGTAATTGTATGCACTTTATAATCAGCATTTTAAACACTGTATCTAGAAAAGAATGCACTATACACAGAATCCATTAACAATGACAGACTGAACACATCAGTTTATCTCAATTCTTCTACATCTAGTAGAGGAATAAAATAAATGTATTACTCCAAAAGAAGAAAGAGAATGAGTGAGCTAATGACGGTAGATTTTAATAAATTTTTCAAAGAAAGTTGAAGGAGGATATGAAGGTGAGGGCAGAAACAATGTGCCCCAGAGACTCCTTGTGAATTGGGAGTAGTGGAGGGGCAGGTATTACTGGATCCCTTCCTTTAACCCACACAGACATCTGATTTTTTTGAACCATGAGCCTGTGTGTGTGTGTGTGTGTGTGTATAAATAAAACGGTGTGTGCACATGTATGTGTATGTTTGTATATATGCATCTTTTCTTGGAAAAACTGTAATAATAAAGACACAGGGATATCGGAAGGCACAGCAAAGGTAGAAGGAAAAGGTACTACGCTAATGTCTGGGACATTTTACCCCTTCACTAGCCTATTCACAGAATGCTACCACCTTGATATATCATTCCCCACACAGAAAACGGATGGCTGCCCCTTTCTCTTTAAAAAATGGAATATCCAGGTCTGACATTGGAACATTATGATAATCTAAACAAGAGTTAGTTCAAAGTATAGTTATACTTCAAGGAAACCCACCAGTCAAAAAACTGACTCAAGTTCAAAGATCCTAGTTGAACCCTTAAATATCTGCTATCATTAATAAAGAAGCATCAAACACTTACCAAAACAGGTAGAAAAGGGAGGGTCAGAGAGAATGCAGAGTACAGAACAAGTCTTAAAAAGAACAACAACAAAAAAAACCCACCACAACCAACGACAAAACTTACAATGGTTATTCTCAAAGAAGTAAGAAAAGGTATACCCCACAAGCAAAACAAAATACTATGAGAAAACACTAAAACAAGACATTAAACATGAAACAAAAAACTAAAAAGAAAGTAGTAAAAGAACTAGGCAATAATTGTACAAAAGTCTCAACTATAAAGCTAAAGGTGCAAAAGAAAACATCTTGCTGACACTTAACAAAACAACAACAAAATGTTAAAAAAATAAACCAACTGGTGGCCTAGTGGCAAGAAGCTGCACTGCAATCCCAGATGATCCTGGTTCGAATCCACCAGAAGCTTTGCTGGAGAAGGAGGAACAATCTCCTCCTGTCCCAGTCAGATCTGATTTGACGATACAATGCACACACACACACACAAAACTAAAATAAATTTTTAAAAACCACAAAAAACCAAATATGTTACTTTGCAGTTTAAGTGATCTTACTCAAGTCAAGTTGCTTTAAATTGCCTCATATACAGGTGAACACTGGAAAACTAATAAAAAAGACTACAGAAGAATATGTGGATTGTAGTATTGGTGAAAAAATATTTAAAAGAATGAACAAATCTATTAAAAAAGAATATTCAAAATAACAAACAAATCGGTCTTTGAAGAAGTATAACCAGAATGTTCCACTGAAGGCAATCCTGCAACATGTGCTCATGTTCTTAGTTCATATTATCAGATTGTCCAGTTCCTGGAAAAAGATATCATCCTTGATAAAGTAGGTCAGTAAAAAAGAAGAAGATACTCAGTGAAGTGTATAAACCCAATATCTGTCACAAAGAGTTCAAACAAGGTAACAATTGTGAAGACAGTACAAGATTAGGAAGGGCTTCAGTCTGTTGTACCTGGAGTTGTGTGTCAGAACCTACTGGAGGGCACCTAACTACAACAGTAATACCAAGAGAGAAGGCAAAGTATGTCAAAACAAAGGGTGTCAGTGAATATTTGAGTAGAAGGAGGTTCTGGACATCTTTTACTGATTTTTCTTTTCCTTAATTAGGAAGCAATTTCATGACAGTGATTAGGGGGAAAGTGTATGATGTTCTTCACATCTGCCTCTCTAATAAGTAAAAATATATTTCCTCTTCCTGACAAACAAGATTTTGGTAGGTTGGTAGGTAGGTAGGTAGGTAGGTAGGTAGGTAGGTAGGTAGGTAGGAAGGAAGGAAGGAAGGAAGGAAGGAAGGAAGGAAGGAAGGAAGGAAGGAAAAGAAAGAAAAGACAGTGTGCTTGGAAAAGTAAAGGGTTAGTGACGAAGAGGAAGATCCTTAAGGAGGTGGCACAGTGACCACAACAATGGAGCAAGCACAAAGAGGTGTTTGTGAGGATGGTAGAGGATTGGTCTGTTGAACACAGGACGGTTAGGAGTTGGAGCCGGCTTAGCGGCACCTAACTACAACAGATAAAAGCAAAGACTAGGGCATGATGCAAGGAGAGAAAAGCAGCTAATACAAATGGTTGTCAGTCCTTTATACAATGGGAGTAAGAAAGGAA